TTCCCAGCCAAAGTATAGCCTTTCCTGTTCTTTTTTCCTTCCTGTTCATTTTCATGTTGCTGCTGATGCCCTCTCTGACTTGAGGTCTTCTTTGAGTAAAAGAGGAGTCCCCAAATTTAATGCACTGGGGTTGCTAGCTTCAACTCCACTTATTGTCTCTAACTGCCCTCAGAGATTTTTCTTCCTACAGGCAGTCAGGATGCTGTCTAGGGAGTGAGGCAAGAACAGCATTCCTGCAAAGGACACCAAAATGGGAGAGAACCTAGCTGCCTGCCTGGATCTCACATTTTATAGAGGAAACCGTGAGTCCAGGGGGAATTTTCTACGTGGTGCCTAGCAGCTTCTGGTTGGAGAAGAAGTCCATCATGGAGAGAGAAGTCCATTAATCTTACCAGCTGCTCATATGTATTCACTTTCTTATGGCCCCACAGATCGTCATAGTCTCAATTTTCAGTTCTGCAATATTGATTGTGACAATCTCGGCACTAGACAGCTGTTTTTAGTTTTTTGGGGGATAACGTCAGATTTCTTCCACTCTACCATTTTGATGACCTCACTCTCCCTTGGCCTATTTTTTTTTTAAATTGGGTTGTCTTTTGTTGTTTTTAAGAGTCCTTTATATGTATTGGATATTCGCAGTTTTTAGATAATTGATTTGGAAATATTTCCTCCCATTCTGTAAGCTGGCTTTTCAAGTTCTGAATTGTGCACTTCGATGCAAAAAGTTTTTAATTCCAGGGAAGTCCAATTTATTTTTTCTTTTGTTATTGGTGCTTTTGGTTGTATAGCTAAAAAATCATTGCCAAATCTAAAGTTCTGAAGATTTATTCCTATAGTTTCCCTGAAGGTTTTATAGCTTTAGCTCTTACCTTTAGACATTTGATACATTTTGAGTTAAGTTTTGCATATGATGTGAGGTAGAGGTTTAAGTTCCTTTCGTATGTGGATAACCAGTTGTCTAAGCACTATTTCTTAAGGGGTCTATTCATGTCTCATTAAATGAACTGGATAACTTTGTGAAAAGTCAATTGACCAGAATGTCTTGGTTTATTTTCAGACTCTTCATCTCTTCCATTAATCACTGTGTGTATTCTCATTTGATCATCACCCTGATTTGATTACTCTAGCTTTTCTAGTAAGTTTTGAAATCTACAAGTGTGTCTTCCACCTTGATTTTTCTTATTCAAACTTTGGTTACTCAGATCTCTTGCAATTTAATAGGATCTTTAGAATTTGCTCTTTCTTTTTCCCAAAAATAAATGCTCATGCGAATAATAATTAGGATTACATTAAATCTATAGATCTCTATGGCTAGTATTGCCATATTATAAATATTTAGTCTTCCAACTCATTACCACATGATGTCTTTTTTAAAAATCTAGGTAATCTTTAAGTTCTCCAATATTTTGTGATTTTCAATGTACAAGTCTTTCATCTGTTTAGTGAAACATTCTCCTTAAAATATGATTTATTTTGAAGCTATTATAAATGGAATTGCTTTCTTAATTCAATTTTCAGATTGTTCATTGCTAGTGCACACAACTATAACTGATTTTTACCATTTAATGTTCTATCCTGCAGGGCTTGCTGAATATTGTTCATTAGCTCAAATATGGTTTTTCTGCATTTTTAAGCATTTTTATAAGATCATCAACTTTATGAAGAGAGATAATTTCCATTTTTTTCTTTTCAACTTGGATGCCTTTTATATATCTTCATTGTCCCATGACCCTGACTAGAATTTTAAGTGTACTGTTCAAGAAAAGGGCAAAAGTGTGCATTCTTACCTTGTTCATGATCTTAGGAGGAAAGTTTTCAGTCTTTTACTCTTGAGTATAATACTACCTGTAGACTTTTTATAAATGCCCCATATATTGTGTTGAGACAATGATCTTCTAATTATAGATTCTTGATTGTTTTGAGTTGCCTTTCCGGAGAGATACACTACAGAAGTTCCCTAATGCATAATTTTCATTGATGTCACTTTTGCCACCTGTTTTTGAATTTGTAGAAACAATCATGCTTCTTGAAAACATAACTGCCACAATAGTCATACATGATAACGTGAAGTGAGATCATGGGTAATGCCATCTCCAACAAATACTATTAAAACATAGATTGATTTTCAATCCCTTTCACTGCTCTTAGTTTATGTGTTTATGTACAGCAGTCCACTAGAAGAAGATGTAACTCTTCCTCGATGCTCAGTGGTTCAATTTCTCTTTATGCCCTTCTAGTCTTCTCCAGACAATTGGGTACCCTTGAGACCCTCAGAAAACTTGCTCGCTCCTGCTATATCCCACTTGGAACTGGTCTGTCCTTGGTGTTCTCACATTGCTGCAACAAATGACTCATGCCTCACAGCAGAGTGACACTGCCTGAAAGCCTGCTAACTCTTGCTGTAAGGGAGAAAACATAATGCACCCATCCATTCCCCACATAGGCACTGTGTAAAGTCTCAGGAAATACTTGAAATATATGTGACACATGGGAAATGTTGTATTTTTATGTTAAATGATGCGACCATGAGATATAACTCTGAGTAACCTCGACAGGAATTGAACATATGTACTATGAGTATCATTCCATGTGGAGTATATGTGGCAGGCAGCAATGACAGCTATTGGATCCCTCCTCTAAGGCTGATGACAAATTACTGCCTATAATGCAACACATGAGGCTAGAACATGAACTCCCTGGTTGTCTGGGCGGGGAGCCAGGTCAAAGAACACCAGAATTTGTAAATTGATTGCCAGAGAAGATCTCCAAGTTTCAAGTAATTTTCTCTTTATGCCTTCATCCCTGAAGAAGATAATTTTATACCATGAAATACACTGGCCCTGTAACTCTGTGAAATAAATCATACCCTCAAAGACTTGGGCAAGAGGATATTTAATTTCTGAAAGCAAAGATTCTTGGTGAGGGCGGGTCTTGTTTGATTTCAAGTGGAAAACAAAAGCAAAAGTGCAGCAGTAAGACCTGCTGGCCCCAAACCGGGATAAATATAAGGCAGCCATGTTTGGTGGTGCCTTTGTCTATGGGTGGCGTTTTTTCATACAAGAAGGGCGGGAGTAGAGGGCTCCAAGACAAGACTTCTTGGCACATCTGGAGCACTACTGCCATCGTGAGGATGTCGTTTAACGAAACCCCTACGCCATTATAGAGTTCTAGTGAGGGCTACCTGTTGGGGCAGATCTGGTCAGGTAAGAGGTGGAAGAGGCTTGGCCTCTATGCTGGGAGTCCTTGCCTACTCCTCTAAGGCTTTAAAAGAGACCTGGACATTGGCGGTATCTTGCTACAGAACCTGGAGAGTGAAGGTTATAATAGCAAATCCTGTAAACTTCCCTTGGAATAACCCTGTTGACTGTGCGCGATGCTACCAGAGACCCACAGATCCATAGCAAGATGACAGCTCGTGAAAACCCGACTCTTGCTCCAAGGGGCAGGAACAGGAAAGAGATGCCCATAAGAACCTACATGTGTCTTTGAGAGGGTTCCTGCTGTCCTGCCCACACCAGGAGGGACAGAGGCAGGGAATGGCTGTTTATGAGGACACAGAGAATGCAATTAAGATTTTGTGATGGGCCAGGCGCGGTGGCTCACGCCTGTAATCCCAGCACTTTGCGAGGCCAAGGCAGGTGGGTCGAGGGACCGAGGCCCCGCCCCACGACTTCCTGTACCAGGACCGCCTGGCGGCTGCTGCTTCACTCCAAGCCCCTCACTCTCCAGGTTCTACACCAAGATACCGCCAAAGTCCAGGTATCTCTTCAGGCCTTACAGGAGAAGGCAACAAGACCTATAGCCTGGAGCCCAATCCTCTTCCACCTCCTCACAGACCAGACTTTCCCCTACAGCGAGGCTTCCCGAGAAGGACGCTGTAATGGCCTAGTCTGTCTAAACGATTTCCTCACGGTGGCAGTAGTGCTTCAGATTTTCAAGGACACCCTGTCTTGGAGCAGTCTTCTCCCGCCCTTCCTGTCTGAAAAAACGCCACCCAGAGACAAATGGGCCAGGAAACATGGCTGCCTTGCATATTGCACAGTTTGGGGCAACCTGTGCAAATTCCTGTATTTTTGCTTTTCTTTTTCATGTGAAATCAAGTCAAGGCCTAAACCACCCATCCTCATCAGGAATCTTGTTCTTTCAAGAAATTAAATGTTTTCCAGACTTAGTCTATGTGGGTTGGCTCAGCACTTTCACATGGTATCAAAATGTCTGTCTCAGGCAGGAAATTAGACTGATCAGAGAAGAAAGGCGAGAATAAATTATCAGAAGCCTGGAGATCATCATGAGCCACCAATTCACAAGTCTAGGTGATCTTTGACCTATTCCCCTCCCCAGACAACCAGGCAGTCCTTCTCCATTTTCTTAGCTTATGTGATGAATTGTCAGACAGTGTTTGATAGGAGTGGTAAGAGAAGGCCAAGACAGCACACATCATTGTATGTAATACATTGCTCCACAGAGCATGATACATACACTTACATCTGTATAAATTCCCATTAGAAGTTACACAGTTTGGGGGCAGACGCAGTGGCTCACGCCTGTAATCCCAACACTTTGAGAGGCCAAGGCGGGTGGATCACTTGAGGTCAGGAGTTTGAGACCAGCCCGGCCAACATGGTGAAACCCTATCTCTACTAAAAATAGAAAGATGAGCCAGGTATGGTGGCCCACACCTGATGTCCCAGCTACTCAGGAGGCTGAGGCAGGAGAATCGCTTGAACCCGGGAGGTGGAGGTTCCAGTGAGCCGAGATCACGCCACTGCATTCCACCCTGGGCGACAGAATGAGTGAGACTCTGTCTCAAAAAAAAAAAGTTACGCAGTTTTAAAAATTGTCCTATGTTTAACAGTGAATAATTTATTTTTCCACATGTTCCTATGTCATTAAATATTTTTCAGCTTCTTCTTGTGATCTGAGTGTGTGTGTATGTGTGTGTGTGCCTGCATGCGTGTGTGTGTGTGTGTTACCTCTTATCTCTTAGGTATCAGACTTACAATATCTTCTTATTAGCAGTGGTATTTGCAAGCCAGGTAGTTGCCTGTTCCTGTAGTTTCAGCTTCTTGGGAGGCTGAGGCAGGAGAATAGCTTGGACCCAGGAGCAGAGCAACCTGAAGAACATAGTGACACCTTAGTCTCTTAAAAAAAAAAAAAATTTAAAGAGTATGATGTTTGCCACGTAGTTCAAAAATAATCTTGTGTACACCAAGAAGAAAAACACCATAAAATCTGTTAATACAACTGATAATATGTTGGGTTATTTTCTTCCATACTTTTCAATGTATACATACATAGGCCTACTATATTTAGGTTCACACAAAAAATAAATCTATATTAAAATTAGATTAATCTGTAGTGGTTTGGATCAGACCAGATGTGTATTCTGACAAAGTTTTGAAGGGAAAGTATTGGCTTGCATTAAATGCATGTACAAACTCTCCTTAACATCTTGTTTTGTATAAATAAGTATATATACACATACATACGGATATAGGCACAAAGCGAGGTAACTGAAATGATTACCATGGCTAAAATATAGTTAGTAAACATGTGTACACACATAGGTGTATATATACCATAAATAAGTGGTCTCTCAATCCCAAGAGGAAATGACTTTTCAAATGGTTTTATCACACATTCACGTATTCCATTGGTCATATAAGAACTTCTCTATTTAAAGTTCCCATGTATTTGTATGTCCAGTGTATGTCCAGTGTTCAAATATGTTCTCTTACAAATGGATTCTATGATTGTTCATGAGAGGTGATACTATTTTACTAAATCGATAGAGGCTTATTAATATACTCCCTTATTTGCACAACAAGGTGTTCAACACACACACACACACAATCACATTAATTATTCCTTTCAATTCCATCATCAAACTATAGGTAGTATTTAGTGCCTTGAATATTTCACACAATATTAGGTAATGGGAAGTTTCCAATGGTATGGAGTAACTAATAGTACTTTATTGCTAACTCTCATGACATTTCTTTATAGTTCAAAAATAACAATGAATCAAATTGCACTCAAATCCTAAGGATAATATAAACATTTGGCAAAAAAATGAAAAATGGAACAATTATAACAGAAGCTAATGAGGCATATTCTCTATCACAGAAACTCAATCAAAATTCAATTACTGTTTTTCTCAATTGCATTTTGCTTGTTCTTCTATTTGCATTATATTGGGGGGTTAGAGGGAATGTACATGTGCAGGAATTTTTTGTTATAAACATCAAATAACACCCTTTATGAGAAATTTCCTTCTGATTTAATGTTTTTCCTTCTATCATTTTTCTCGGTTTTTATATAGAAAGGCTACTTAAAATGTCACTAAACATATTTCAGCTAATTGGATTTTGTGTTAAACAATAATTTGTTAGAAGGTTTTAATTTTCTTGACTAGTAAGAGCAAGACATTTAATCATCCTAGCATGTAAACAGTGCCATTTATTTTTAGATAAAAATATGGTATTACTCAGAATGTTATCAGTACTAAGCTTATTTGTCAATGTGTCAAGCCTTCATTATAAATAAAGGTAAAACTGGAAAATGTGCTCTCAGAAAACTCAGCTTTAGAGAATTAGACACTGTTAGTTGTTTTGTTTGAGTTTTTTCAATTTACAGATACATTACAATGTGCATATTGGCTCTCTAGAATACATACATGTTTAGACGTTTGATTCAAGGTTATCACATGTTAGAAGTAAAACGCCCTTGACTTTGCCATTTCTCTTACCTACTGTTAGCAAACTTACATGGTTTGATTCCCAAGGTCGAACTGTTTGCTTTTCTCCCTACATCAGAGGCAGAGAATGTCTCTGCCAATCAGGCCACAGAGAATGGAATTCAGGCTTTGTGAAGGCTGAAGAGGCTACCTAAGGAGCTAACTCATCTAGTCAAGGCTTTCTCTGAGTGTTCTTTAGATGATATATGAAGGGAAGGTTAGAGATCATTTTTCTCTTTCACAAAATACCTGGAAGACGTCGTGCTTGCTTCCCGGAGCCTCTGCAAGGCACTCCTGTGTATCAGTACACCTATGTCCATATGCCATCCTTTAAGTCTAAAAGAGAGTTAGGCACAGGCCAGGATGTCACAAAAGCCAGTTCCCTTCTCCTGGCATAGCATGGTCTACATGGTAGGTGATGGAATCTTACCTTTCAAGGAAGGATATATTTTTATATCTTTTAGGTCTAGTTGACTTATAACTTTGTTCACATTCTCTAATTCCTTAATGATCTTCAGTTTAGTTGTTTCATCCATTGTTTAAGGTGGAGTATTGGGCTGGGTGACGTGGCTCATGCCTGTAATCCTAGCACTTTGGGAGGCCGAGGTGGGTGGACCACTCCAGGTCAAGAGTTCAAGACCAGCATGGGCAAAATGGTGAAACCCCTTCTCTGCTAAAAATACAAAAATTAGCTGAGCATGTTGGTGCACGCTTGTAATCCCAGCTACTTGGGAGGATGAGACATAAGAATCGCTTGAACCCAGGAGGCGGAGATTGCAGCCAAGATGGTGCCACTACACTCCAGTCTGGGTGTTAGAGCAAGAGACTCTGTCTCTAAATAAATAAATAAATAAAGTGGGGTATTGAAGTCACCAAGTTATTTTTTAGAACTCTCTATTTTTTCCTTTAGTTCTGTTCAGTTTTTGCCTCATGTATTTGGGGACTCTTGTAAAATAAATATGTATGCTTAATTAGTACATCTTGACAGACTGATCATATCATTATATAATGTCCATCTTTGTCTCTTGAAATAATTATTGTCTTAAGGTGTATTTTGTCTTGTATCAGGACAGTCAGACCAATTTTATTTTGGTTATTTTTCACATGAATTTTCTTTTTTCATGCTATTACTATTAACCGTTTGTGAATTGGATCTAAAGCCAACTCTTTTAGACAGCATAGAGTTGGATGTTCTAAAAAATGCATTCTGCCAATCTCTGCCTTTAAATTGGAGAGTTTAATCCATTTAAAGTAATTACTGGTAAAGAGGTACTTACTCCTCCTATTTTGCTATATATTTTCTGTATATCTTATAGCTTTTTTCTCAATTCCATAATTCCTACCTTCTTTTGTGATTAATTGATCTTTTCTAGTGTACCACTTTTATTCCTTTCTGTTTCTTTTTCCCTATATACTAATTTTTAATGGCTATCCTGCAGAATACAATTAATATCTTAATTTTAGAGCAATCGATTTTTATTAAACTACAAATTAGTTTATATAGTACATAAAACCTACTCCTTTAAAGCTCTAATCCCTTTTGTGTTATTTTTACAAACTATATGATTAAACATTGTACAATGTTAATTAATACAGACTTATAATTATTGTTTCATGCATTTGTTTTTAAAATCATATGGGAGGAAAAGAGAATTATAAACCAAAAATATAATTCTTCTGGCTTTTTAATGTATCTATGTAGCTACCCTTTTCTTTGTTCCTTATTTCTTCATATGGTTTCGAGTTACTATCTAGTGTCTTTTCATTTCATCCTGAGAGACTCCGTTTTGCATTTCTGTTATGGGAGGTCTACTACTGGTGGAATCTGTAAAGTTTTTTTCTATCTAGGAATGTCTTAATTTCTCTTTCATTGCTGAAAGTTAGTCTTGGGGGATATGGAATTTTTGACAAGTTTGTTTGCTTTTGCAACTTTAAATATGTTATCCCACTGCCTTTTGGCTTCCATGGTTTCTGAAGAAAAACTGGCTGCTAATCTTATTGAGGAGTCCTTGTATATAATTAAGGCCTTTCTCTTATAACGCTTTCAAGATTCTTGCTTTGTCTTTGTCTTATGACAGCATGGTTATAAGCTTTCTCATTGTAGATTTCTTCATGTTTATCTTACATGGAGTTTGTTGAGCTTCTTGCATGTTTATACTCATGTGTTTCAATTGCTCTAGCTTCACATTCAATGACTTTTTTCTAACTGTTCTAATCTGCTGTTGGAAACTTCCAGTGGTTTTTTTTTTTTTTTTCATTTCAGTTTCTGTACTTTTCAGTTCCAAAAGTTCTATTTGTTTTTTTAAAAAATAATATCTCTCTCTTTATGGATATTCTCTACTTGGTGAGACATTATTCTCTTGGTTTACTTTAGTTCTTTGTATTTTATTTATGGAAACACTTTGAGCATATTTAAGAGAGTTGACGTAACTCTTTTCTAGTAAGCCCAATGCCTGGGCTTCCTTCTGCACAGTTTCTATTAATTTCTCTTTTCCCTGTGAGTAGGCCACACCTTCTTGTTTTCTTTGCATGTCTTATTTTTTGTTTATCATTAAAAATTAGATGTTTTGATATCATACTGTATCAACTCTGGAAATTAGATTTCTAGACACACTTCCCTCCCTACCCCATGGGTTTAGTTGATAGCATTTGTGTGTTGTTGTTTTTTATTTGCTTTTTTAGTAACTTTTCTTAAATACTTTTGTAAAGTCTGTATTTTTATCATTTGTGGCCACTGGAGCACTGGAGTCAGTGTTCTGATAGCTTAGTGGTCACCTAGTACTCCGACAGTTTCCTTAAACATGTGGAGCCTAAGAAAGAAAGAGAAGTATTCTCTAAGTCCTTGAAGGCTGGCTCTGTGTGTTGGGGCACTCTTTCAACTAGCCAGGCTGTAGTCTTCACTTCTAGCTTGCAAGGGGCCTGAAAGCTAGTGAGATATGAGTCCTTAAGGTCTTCTCAGGCATTTTCTGAATAATTGTCCAGCCCTGCGCATGTGCATGGCTTTTTATTTCTCTAGTATATACAAGAACTTTTTAAAGTTCTTATTCCCCCAAGTATTTCCTTTCATAGCCTCTTCCTTCCCATGCTTTTCCATCTGTTTACTGTTTAACTGTTGTCCCTTGCCCCAGACTCCTATAGCCAATACTTGTATCTTTAAGTTTTTTCAACACATGCCCCTCAGGAAGCTGTTCCAAACCTGGAAACACTCTAAGTGAGGCAAAAAAAAAGCAAGATTACACCAATCCTTTAGGGAGCCAAAAGACAGGTCCAACTGGAATGCAACAATTCTTTGAGAATAAGTTCTGTATTATACCTATGCACAAGGGTGGGAGCTATACTGAAGGCACTGTGGAGGCTGGGGGATGGTAGACAGGCAAT